AAAATAGGCTCTATATCCCTAATCATCAGGTATATGCAAATCAAAGAAACAATGAGATATCATCTCACACCACAGAGACTGGCACACACATTAAAAACACACACACACACACACACACACACACACACACAAAACATCTAGTGCTGGCATGGATGCAGGGACAAAGGGATTCTCATTAACTGCTTGAGGGAATGTTGACCAACCCAGCATTATTGGAAAACAATATGAACATTTCTCAAAAAACTAGAACTTGTGCTTCCATATGACTCGACAACACTGCTTTTGTGAATATACCTGGGAGTCCCAAAGCACAATGCAGAAAAGCACTTATGTTCAGTGCAGCACTGTTCAAAGTAGGCAAAATCTGGAAACAACCCGAGTGCCCGAGAACAGACGACTGGATAAAGAAACTATGACACATCTACACAGTGGAATACTCTGCAGCTGCCAGGAAAAATAAAGCCATGAAATTTACTTAGATATGAATGGACATGAAAATATCGTGCTGAATGGAATGAGTCAGAAGGAGAGGGACAGACATAGAATAACTGCACTCATTTGTAGCGTGTGTGTGTGTGTGTGTGTGTGTGTGTGTGTGTGTGTGTAAGACTAATACACAAAGACAGTAGAAACAAGGGCACGGAGAACTGATCCAAAGGAGGAAGCTTGCCACAAAGGGAAAGGAGGATGACAGTGACAATTGGAAATGATCACTCTGGACAAGAACTGAGTGCTGAAAGGAGGTAAAGGCAGATACCCTTTTAGTAACTGTCTTGCAAATCACAGTGCTGGGGGGGGGGTGGAGAGGGAGGGAGGGAGAGGTATAGAGAGGGAGAGAGAGAGGGGGAGGAAGGGAGGGAGGGAGGGAGAGGTATAGAGGGGAAGAGAGAGAGGAAGAAAGAGAGAGGGAGGGAGGGAGGGAGGGAGGGACAGGGAGAGAGAGGGAGGGAGGGAGGGAAGGAGGGGTTTTGAGAGGGAGAGAGAGAGAGGGAGGGAGAGGGAGGGAGGGAGAAGGAGGGAGTGAGGGAGAGAGAGGGGGAGCGTGAGAGAAGAAGAGAGAGAGAGTATTTTTTGCAGTGGCCCATAGAGGCAGGCTGTTGTGGGGCGGGAGGGAAATTGGGGTCATTGGTGGAAGGAGTTGTGCGCTGGTGAAGGATTGGGTGTTGGAACATTGTATGACTGAAACCCAATGGTCAACAGCTCTGTAACAGTGTATCTCACAGCGGTTCAATGAGAAGGGGGTGGGGGGCTGAGGGCTGACTCAAACCACGGCACTGGAGTGGACTCCCCCATACCAAGTGCATGGCATGTTCTCCATCCACTGAGCTCCCTCTCCAGCCCTGATTTCTTTTTCTTTCTTTCTTTCTTTCTTTCTTTCTTTCTTTCTTTCTTTTTATTTTTTTGCTTTTTTGCGTCACACCCCACGATGCACAGGGGTTACTCCTGGCCCTGCACTCAGGAATTATTCCTGGTGGTGCTCGGTGGACCATATGGGATGCTGGGAATCAAACCTGGGTCAGCCGCGTGCAAGGCAAACGCCCTACCCGCTGTGCTATCGCTCTAGCCCCTCTTTCTTTCTTTCTTTTTTTTTTTTAGCTTTGGGGCCACACCAGTGCAGTGCTCAGGCGTTACTCCTGGCTCTGCCTTTAGGGGTACCTCCTGGAGGGTGTGTGGGACCATATGGGATGCTGGGGATCAAGCCCTGACCAGCCCCAAGTGAAGCAAATGCCTGTTGTACTATCACTCCAGGCCCCCCTGTTTCATCGTCTCACAACTCCCTCTATTTAAAGTTTGAGTGAAATAACTTTGCTTCTTTCATCTGTAACATTTTATCCATCTCAGGGCTCCATCTGAACATTCCTACTGGACCAATGACCTGTGTATGGAATCGACCCCCCACCTTGTCTAATTGCCATAAACTCCCATGCAGGAGGGGTCAGATTCTCACACATGCCCCCGCTCCCCCCCCCACCCCCCCAATCTGGAATCTTTCTCTGCGCTTGATCTTGGTCTTGGGCCACTGGGCTACCCTCAGTGTCCAGAAGACCTCTGGATCTGGAAGATAAGCGATGACGCATCTATTCTCAAGGAGAAGAACACTGGAGAGGAAACTGCTCTAACTCTTCTTTTGTTTGGTTAAACCTGGTCACGGGGCAGGAGAGTCCAACTGGGTGGGTACTGGCCTTGAAGTCCTCGACCTGGGTTATTCAATCTCTGCAACATGGTACTTGGACCTGGAGCTCTGCCAGAAGAGATCCCTGACACCACTGGGAGTGACCCCCAAAACAAAACAAATTAGAAAATGAAAATAGCTTTTTTTTTTATAGATCTAGATTTACAGACTCATAATTAAATCTTGAACGAGATCAACCAACTGCAAACATTCACGGTTATCCCGGTGTGCTGGCTACAAACTCTACGGCTCCTGGGGCTGGAGCGATAGTACTGCGGGTAGGGTGTTTGCCTTGCACGCGGCCGACCCGGGTTCGATCCCCAGCATCCCATATGGTCCCCTGAGCACCGCCAGGAGTAATTCCTGAGTGCAGAGCCAGGAGTAACCCCTGTGCAAACAAACAAACAAACAAACAAACTCTATGGCTCCTTTGGGAGGGGGTTGGCTGGGTCCCTGCTGCCCAGTACCCCGTACCCTACGGCTGCCATGACGCCCTCCGCCCAACTGCACTGACTCACGGCTGAGCTCTGCAGATACGCCAGATGCTGAAAATTTCAGGTACCCAAGTGTTCCAGCTGAGAACTCTAGGGTCTTCTCAGAGCGGGGGTGAGCAGCCTCCCCGCAACTCACACACATCCAGAAGCCCTGGCAGCCACTCCCCCCCCCCCAACTGCTGCCATGTAAGTCCACTGCCCAATTGAACATTCGGAGTTTCTGCAACACCACTTTTTTGACACCTCCAAACTCTACAAAACTTGCAGCCAGCAGGAGACACCAAATTAGATGGGAAAGTAACACAGAAAGTAATGAAGCACAACAAACAGAACCATTAACTCAGAGGGATCAAATGAGCAACACAGCTTAGTAAAACCCTCAGAGAAGGACTTAATGACCCCATGATGAGAAATAATCATTTTCATAAATTTTCTTTTGTGGAAGGTTTTTTTTTTTTTTTTTTTTTTTTTGCTTTTTGGGTCACACCTGGCAATGCACAAGGGTTACTCCTGGCTCTGCACTCAGGAGTTACTCCTGGCGGTGCTCAGGGGATCATATGGGATGCTGGGAATCGAACCTGGGTCGACCGCGTGCAAGGCAAACGCCCTACCCACTGTGCTATCTCTCCAGCCTCTACTGAAGTATTTTTTGATAATTGCACTAGCCATTTAGTTGTAACAAGCACTATATTAAAAAAAACACACACATTATTTTGTGCCCGCTAAGGGGACAGGCTTGAGGGGTGCTTGAAAAAAATGGGGACAACGGTTGAGAAAAAGTGACAGTGGTGTTGAGATGGTGGGATTGGTGTTGGAATATTGAATGCCTGTAACAAATGCATGATGAACAGCTTTGTAAACGATGGTGTTAAAAAAAATAAGGGAGAAAATGAAAATAAATGAAAAGGGTTAGAAGCCAGAGAGGCAGTATAGCAGGTAGGGCACTTGTCATGCTCTTGGCCGACTCGGGTTTGATCCCTGACTCCCTATATGGTCCCCTGACTCCCACCAGGAGTGATTCCTGAGCACAGAGCCAGGAGCAAGTCTGGCCCCCCTTCAAAATAATAATAACGATCACGATCACGACCATCCTGTTGTTCGTCGATTGCCTTGAGCAGGCCCCAGTAAGGTCTTCTTCGTCCTAGCCCTGAGATTTTTTTAAAAAGTGCCATATTCAAGGCTCTTTAGGAGAATGAGACCCATCATTGTTACTGGTATTTGGCATATTGGGTACGCCACGGGGAGTTTGCCAGACTCTGCCGTGTGGGCAGGTTACATTCGGTAGCCTGCCAGTTTGTCCAAACTGAGCACAGAGCCAGGAGCAAGTCATGAGCATTGCTGAGTCTGGCCCCCTTCAAAATAATAATAAATAAGTAAAAAAGGGTCATGCTGTATAACATCCTCCATTTCCTCAGCCTGGCTGCGGGGCTCAGCCTGCGTCTCGCTTTTCCTGTTTGAACACACCACTGCAGGTTCTGAGACTCCAGGACACGTTTTCTGAAAAACTTGTTATTTTGTCAAAAGCCTGATGTTCCCAACAAAAAAGGATGCAAGGCAATTACCGCCTACTTGCTCAGGTTTATGAAATGGAAAGAAATTATTTTCAAGCACATTTGGGGGACTCCTTTGGCAATACCGGAGGCCAATATTTTCTAAAGAGACCGATGCTCCCAGCTGCAGATCTTGGCATTTGGGATGACAGACAGGCAAATGGTTTCCCGAGATTGTTTTTCCTTCTTTCTCTGCCACCCCCTCCTCTACCTTCTCCATCTTCCACTCTTCCTCTTCCTCTCTCTCGCTCCCTCCCATCTCCTCCCCTCCTCCCCTCCTCCTTCCTGCCTTCCCAGGGCTGCTTTTCTCCACCCCCAGAACTGGCCGGAGGATCTCTATTTCCTGGCCCTTCCCTGCTCTCTGTCCTGGACTCGGAGAGTGACCCCTCCTGAAACTGCCAGATGGGATCACCTTGCCCCTCAGACCTGGAGGCCTTTCTCCTGGGAATAGCCCCCCCCCCCCCCCCCCCCCCCCCCCCCCCCCCCCCGCCCCTTCCCCTGGTGGCTCCAGAGAGACCCAAAAAGGTGCAAAAGAAGGATGAGAGAGGCCTGAAGGAAGAGTGGGCGCTTGCCTTGCATGCGGCCAACCCGGATTTGATCCCTGGCACCTTATCTGGTGCCCTGAGCCCTGCCAGGCGTGATCCCTGAGTTCTGAACACCACCAGGTGGGTCTCCAAAAAACAAACCCACAACAACAGGGACGGGGAGACAGACACAGTGCAAAGATTGTAGTGTTTGCCTTGCACTGGCTGGGCCCTCAGTCCCATTCCTGTCTCCTTGCAGAGACATCCCCAAGCAGCACCAGATGTGACCCCTGGGAACAGAGTCAGGAGTAAGTCCTGAGCACTGATGTCCCCCACCTTCCCCCTGCAAATATTTCGAAGAAAATACAAGGCTGGGGTGGCAGCTTTGCCATAAACTCTTGTCTTGCCTATGTGCAGCCTTGGGTTCCATCCCTAGCGCTTCTGAAAAGAAAAAACGTGCCCAGACTAAGCCAGGGGCCGGAGCAGGGGCGCAAGCTTAGACCCTCAGGGTCCCCAGCAGGATCCAAGGGCGTGGAGCAGCCTCGGCAAACTCCCTCGGAATCCAGAGCCCACCCCCACTCGGCTCTCCCCCAAGGCCGCGGCCTGCTCTCCCTTGGACGCGGGCCCAGACACTGAGGCTCGGAGGGGAGCGGCCAGGCCCTCCTCAGAGATCCCCCATCGGCCCCTCGCCGCGCCCCTCTCCTCCCTGCTGGACGTCCCGGGCGCAGCTGCTGCCTCTGCTCGGCCTCCTCCCCGCCCCCACCCTCCAGCTGCGGGAAGCTGGAATCTCCCCCGCTCAGGTCTGACCTCAGCCTCACCCACTCCTCCCTTCCCCAGGCTGCGGGGTGGGGGTGGGGGGTGCCAGCCCCCTGCTCCCCCACCCCCCAAGCTGCCGGTCTCTCTCTACTTGTGTTTTGCCCACAACATTTCTCTGAAAACCGGGGCTTCCTTATCTCCTACTCTGGCTCCCTCTCTTCCCGTATGTTAACTTTGGGTCACACCTGCTCGGTGTGTGTGTGTGGAGGGAAATGTGTGAGGGGGAGGATGGGGGGATTTTGGGGAGGGTTTCATTCCTGGAATACGCCTGCCGTCAGTGTTCAGGGGACCACGCGGTGCTGGGGACAGAGGGAACCTGGCCTCCTGCACTGCCAAGTCTTGGAGATCCTGGGGGGGGGGGGGGGCGGAATGGAGGTGAAGGGGGGGCCTGAGGGTGTCTGCAGTGGGGCATGCACTTTGTCTCAAAGCCAGAGTCCTGGGGGCTGGAGCAATAGTACAGCGGGTAGGGCGTTTTGACTCGGGTTCGATTCCCAGCATCCCATATGGTTCCCTGAGCACTGCCAGGGGTAATTCCTGAGTGCAGGACCAGGAGTAACCCCTGTGCATCGCAGGGTGTGACCCCCCCCCAAAAAAAAGCCAGAGTCCCTAGGGCTGGGTCAGTCTTAGAAGCCTGACACCCTCAACTCTTCAGGGACTGCACCCCGCCCCCACATACCCCTGGCAGGCTGCAGGCCGAAGGCTTTCAAGTGAGGGTTCCACGCAGGGGGCTTCCCCAGAAGACTCTGGAGCCCAGTAGCCTGCAGGGGTGGAGCAGAGGCTGAGGGGCTGTTCTGCCTGGGCCTTCCCCCACCTCCCTGGGCCTGGAGAGGAGAGAGTCACCCCTGAGTCCCTCTGCGGCTTCAGTGGGCACAGCCTGTGCTGGGCAGTGAGCCTGCAGTCCCTGGGCCTCCCCCTCCTTCCACACCCCTGCTCCTGGGCTCTGGAGTGTGGGGTGCGGCAGCAGGCCCTCATCACCTGATGCAAATGTGCCAATATGCCCTGCTCTTGGCAGACCAGGGCCTGGTGTTTGGGGGAGCGGGGTGGGGGAGGCCGCTGCAGGCTAGGAGCGGTGGTAGAGGCTGGAGAAGTTTCTGGAAACTTCTCCAGCAAATGCACAAGAGTCATTTTGATTCTAGAAAGAAAAAACAAGCCTCTGTTGTTTGTTTCTTCTTCTTTTTTTTTTTTTTTTGGCTTTTGGGGTCACACTCGGTGACGCTCAGGGGTTCCTCCTGGCTCTGCACTCAGGAATCACTCCTGGTGGTGCTCAGGGACCCTATGGGATGCCGGGTATTGAACCCAGGTCAGCTGTGTGCAAGGCAAATGCCCTCCCCACTGTGCTATCGCTCCAGCCCTTGCTTTTTTACTTTTTTCCCTGTTTTATTTTTCCCTTTTGTTTTTTTTCTATTTCGCTTTTCCAGGAATTCTTGTTCTATTTTTGGGCCATACCTGGAGGAGCTCAGAGCTTACTCCTGGCTCTTCATTTAGGTATCACTCCTGATGGGTCTGAAGAGACCAGGTTGGGTGCTGGATGTTGAGGATCAAATCCAAGATGGACTCATGTCCTACCCACTGTACTATTACTCTGACCCCAAAGCATTAGAAATTTCATAGCACATAACATATAGCCATAGCACAGTGGGGAGGGTGTTTGCCTTGCACTCGGCTGATCTGGGTTCGATCCCCACCATCCCATATGGTTCCCCAAGCACTGCCAGGAGTAAGTCCTGAGTGCAGAGCCAGGAGTAACCCCTGAGCATCACTGGGTGCGACCCCCCCACCAAAAAAAAAGTCAAAAAATTATTTCCTAAGGATATAATCACAGTCCTGCACCATAATTTTTATACAAAGATTAAAAATCAGTGGATTTTTATTGTTGGAGCAATAGCCAGGCAAAGCACTTGTCTTACACGGACCTGGGTTCCATCCTTGGGCATCTCACATGATCCCCCTGAGCCCACCAGGAGAGCCAGAAGCAAGCCCGGAGCATAGCTGGGTGTAGTCTGCCCCACTCTCTGCAAAAATAAGAATATTTGCTGTAGTAACATTTATTAAAATGAAGGAAAGAAAATAAATGAAAGCAGAGGGGCTGGAGAGAATGTACAGTGGGTAGGGCACTTGCCATGCATGTGGCCAACCCAAGTTCCATCCCTGGCACCTCAGATGGTCCCCTAATTCCTGTCAGTGACCCCTGAGCACAGACCACGCACCGCTGTGTATGGCCCCAAAACAAAACAAAAATAGCCAAAAATTGAAGACAAAAATAAATAAAGAAAGAAAGAAAGAAAGAAAGGAATAAGAACCATCGTAAAACTTTATCCCGACCCTGCGCCAGGCTGTCTTCACCAGGGCAACTTGGAGGGGAATGGGTTGAGTTTCCCTCTCCGCCCCAGCAGAACCCTGGCAGCCGAAAATCTCCAGAACGCAACTGCACAGCCATACTCAAAGTCACTCTCCCCAGGCTCAGACGAGCCTCACCTATGAGTGAACCTGCAGAAAACCCAGTTAATGCGGGACCCGTGACTGAGATCTCCAAGCTCACTTGGACTTGGACTGGGCCTCCTCCCCCAGCTCCCTAGTTTTCCCACACCCAGAAACTGCCTCCAGCACCATATAATCTTATCAACAGCCAAGATCCAGAGATTATGAAATAAAGCTCCCGGAAAAGAGCAACACAGAGCATATCTCTTATACTCTAGCCCACTGATGTACCAAAAGTAGCACACACTTGTTTAGGTTTAACATATATGTTTGTAATCTCTTATACAAGGGCTTAAATGACTCCAGGATGAAATACAACAATCTTCACACACTTTCCTCTTATGGTGGTGGGAAGGTGCACGGTGATGAGATTGGTATTTGAATATTATCGGTAATGAACTACTGTGAACAACTTTATAAAAGTAGCACTGTCCTCCCGTTGTTCATCGATTTGCTCGAGCGGGCCCAGTAACGTCTCTATTGTGACACTTGTTACTGTGTTTGGCATATCAAATATGTCACGGGGAGCTTGCCAGGCTTTGCCGTGCAGGCGGGATATTCTTGGTAGCTTGCTGGACTTATAAAAGTAAAATTAAAAAAGAGTTCAGATAAGAGGGAACTTATAAATTAAATCATGGTGCAAATACATAACACACTATTCTTCAATTGCCAAATGCTCACAATAGGATGTTATTTTTAAAAAGACACAAAATTATTGCATTTACACTGTGCACACACATATTCTAGGAAGGGTTAATACAAGATTACTAAACATCATTATCTCTGGGTGATTATGGGTTGTTTCTTATAGTCTTTATAATCTCTCCAATGCACCCGTTGTACTTTGGAAATAAGGGATACTTATTCAAAAACAACCAGGAAAACATTTTAAATATGATCATTAGATACATATTCATAGATTTAAAATTCCCACGAGCCTGGGATGACATTTGTCAAAATCCTGGCCTCTGTTCTCAGGTATTTCTGGTCATGGTCCAGGACACCAGCGCCTACAAGCTCTTCCTTAGCTTCAGCCATTCAGCTCTGGGCTAAATGATTAATCTATCAGGAGAAATCCCAGTTAGCCAGAGCTCTAAAGGCCACTAATCTCCCAGGTGACAAGAAGCTGCAGATAAGGACGGGGTGAAGAGGTGACCTCGAGGGTAAGTTTGGGGATTTCACTTACTGGAGCCATTTTCCTTGAGGGATTGGATATCGGATCCAAGCTGTTTCCTTCAGATCTTTGAACAAATCTTTCCCGGGCTTGCTTAGTGGGGAAGGAGTTAAGTCTCAAAGCAGCCCTTGATTTAGGATTTGTTTTGGAGTCACTTATCTATGGGGTTGCTGACAGCAATAAACATTTCCCAAATACCTCAAGGAAGGAAAGTAGATTGTCTCCTGGGGAGAACAGGGCTAAGATGAACCTGGGTGATTCCTCTCTATTCTTTCACATGAACGCCCAGTGAAAACAAAAACAGAACAAAAACCTGAAGCTACACGGATCATAGTTACCTCTGAAAAAAGCTCACTTCCGTCTAAGGTGTGTGGCCTTCCAAGATGGCCTAGGAGCGAGATGTATTTTGTGAAATAAGGTTCAAAAAGGCAGCGTGAACGTGGGCTTAGACAAGGCCCTTGGTAACGGCTGCAAATGATCGGCCACAGGCCTCTGACCCACATTCCTTGTGCTGGGCTGGCAGGAGGCCGGGCTTCTCAAGGTTAAGTAAAGGTCATCTCAGTATGGACTTCTGATGGCAAAGCAAAGGTTGAAGTGGGGGGTCTGGGCATTTCGCTGAGGAAACAAACGGCTCCGGCCTGTCCGGTCCACTTAGATCCTCTCTGTGGGTTTTTCCAGAACCAGCAGCCGCTGCAGTCCCAACCCCAGCCCAGCCTCAGTCCTGGGGAGGGCACTTGCCTTACATAAGGCTGACCTGGCTTCAATCCCCGGCCCCCATAGGGTCCCCTGAGCACCACCAGGAGTGATTCCTGAGTGCAG